GGAGCGGCTGGTAGTTTCGAACCACTGACCTTAAGGTTCGCAGCCCGATTTGTAACCACTATGCTAGACTACAAATAAATTTATATAAATATTCACTTACTATGCAGCTTGTGTTTGTTCAGGAACTATTAATTGAAGAGGTATAGCATGCGAGGCACAGTACCAGGCACTAGGGCTATAAAGATGAACAAATGTAGGAGACAAAAAATCAGCACAATATATAACTATAAATATTCTGTTGTTTTTACATGCTGTTGAGTCAGAGGATTTCTGAGGATCAGCTGGTGGGTTTGAACTGCTGAACTTGGGGTTAGCAGTCCAGTGCTGATCCTACAGTGCCATACCAGGACTCCATAAGTGCTTTAAGTGCTATGAATTAAAAAAAAAAAAAAAATCAAAAACAAAAAATAGTACTACAAGAAAGGATTGTTGTTCTTAGGGACATCAAGTCATAGAAATCCTGTATAGGGTTTCTGAGGAGAAGCTGGTGGGCTTGAATCACTGACCTTTCAATTATCAGCCCAGTGCTTATCCCACAGCACCACACCAGGACCTCACAAGAAAGGATTGTTAAGTGTCATCAAGTCCATTTCTACTTTTAGCGACCCTGTATAAGGTTTCTGAGGAGTAGCTAGTGGGTTTGAACTGCCAACTTTGTGGTTTGAAGTCCAGTGATGATCCTAAAATCCAAGACAGGATTGTTATTGCTGTTTAGTGCCATCAAGTCAGTTCCAACTCGTAGCGACCCTGTTTAGGGTTTCTGAGGAGCAGCTGGTTGATTTGAACCACCAACTTTGCAGCTCAAAATGACCTCTTGGTCCAGTGTTTATCCTGTAGTGCCACACCAGGGAGACAATAATTTAGAAGAGGAGTAGCATAGTGGTTATGAGTTGGGCCGCTAACCTCAAGGTCAGCAGTTCCAATACTGCAAGCAGTTCTGCAGGAGAAAGATGAGTCTTTCTGCTCCCATAAAGATTTACAGCCTCAGAAACCCTATACAGGGTCGTTATGGGTTGGAACTGACTCAATGGCACTTAACAACAACAACAACAACATATTGTCAGGAAAGTCAGTTCTGATTGCTGAAGAAAGTTTAGTAACAACAACTAGGTGCCCCTAGTGGTGTTACATAATACCACTAAATCTTTGGGGAAAAGACCAGGTATATTTAGAATGTCTGGTTTTCCGCATCCACGTTGACCACTCAGTCATAAAATAAGTAGGTACTTGTTGAATTGAAGGGTTCATTGATTTTTTTTTATAAGGGGGGGCATTATAAAAGAGGAAAGGAACCACACAAGCAGAACTCATGAGGCTGGAAGGAACTTGGATCATTTAATGAACTGAATTGTCTGTGTGGTTACAGAGCAGCAAACAGAATCCTAGATGAAATTGGAGAAGTTTATAGGGGCCATTTCACACACATCTAACATGTCTTCACTTCCATATGAAACTCTCAAAGGCCAGAACATAGTCAATCTTTTTCAGGATAAGGCTCTTAATCAGTGCTTGTTGAATTAACCTGTATTTGGTATCATGCAATTCCTTCCAGTCCCTAAGAGCAGTACCCTTACAATGTTGAAGGCTGCTTAAACTAAAACCCAGCCATTTTTCATTCTACTTTCTCATCCACTGCAGAAACTCTCTCTTTTCCT